ATGAAAATAGGGAGTCAGACTGAAGAAGAGGGTTGAAAAATACTGGGAGAGGAATTTGGGCTGAAAGCATGAGATAAGGGGGAGGGTCCAGTGACAGCTGTCTTCCCCCCACTGAAGCATCCAAAGCATATTTTCTGCAAAACCAGGAACTCTTGGTGGGCAAAGGAATCTTCATGGCTCCGACGCTATGTAACATAGTGATGGTGATTCATTAACATCATTTCTGGAATTGGCCAATATGCATTCCTCCCTCTTAGGCGCCAGCATGCTGTGGCCACCCTTGGCCAGTGCTGCCAGTGTTACTGGCTGTTGGGTTAGGAAAGGGAAATGCCAACTGAGGGGGAAAGGTAAGGCATAGTTTTTTTCAGCAGGGTGAGTGCAGCTATTTAAGCCCCTGCTAAAAGTCTGAAGGTTGGACTCAAGTAGGGATGAATAAGTAGCCTATGCCAGGACAATCCCAACAGGATAGAGCCTTCTGGAGCATCTTCCCCTTCCCGATGTTTTCCCTTCCTTGACTGCAGAGCAGGAGGCATCAGCTACGCTTGCGCTCAAACACCTTCTCTTGCCTCCTTAGAGTTATCAAGAAAGCATTGAAGCCATTTCTGCACTTGTTTAGAGGACTCTTCCTATGCTCTGGCTGACCTACAGATGTGCAATTTGTCAAAGACTCATTACCACACAATCTTTATAGGTACAGTGTTATCCTAAGAAGGGCAATTAACTGATAAATAGCTCCCAGAAGAAATACTCAGAGATATCCTGAAGCATAAATGGCAGCATGTGATACCTGAACCTTGCAGGAGAGTATCTAATATTGGAAGTAGTTGTATAACCTGTGTCGTGGAATAGATACTCCCTGAGAATTGTGAGAAAGCCAAGAGGTATGGAAGTTAAGGGCACAGCCTTCAAAGTCTGAGAGGCCTGGGCTTGAATTTGGCTCTGTCAGAAACTGGACAGTTGTTTGACAGACTTTGGCTCAGTTTTTTCACCTACATGAGATTATTACTTAAGAATACCTCCTCGTAGATGAGTCAATGAGATAACATAGATGAAGCTCTTATCTGGCACATGGTAAGCACTCAGTAAATAGTAGCTATGATGGTTAAGTAGAGTGAAAGTGATTATAAAATTAATTAAAGTCAACAAATCTTAATTGAGCACAATTAGGGGCATAGCAGTATGAGAGACCCCCCCCCATATACATATACTTTATCTTCTATGTAAACTGAGTTTCTCTATACGGGTTTATTTATATTACAGTAACTTTACCTTTTTCAAAACAGTAGATCTGTTGCATTATCTACTAACTTCTAAGCAAATCTCAAATGCTCCTCCAAAGGATAGTAATATTGGTGATAATGTCTCTTTCAAGCCCACTGTTTAATTTTTTAGGAGTGAGCTGTATTTACTGCTTATTTATCTACTCTAAAAATGAAATTTCCTCTCATTTAGCTGTAAGGTTATCTTTTATAATTTTTTAAAAGATAAAAGGGTGTTTTTAACCCCAATCTTATACAATTTATTTATTTATTTGTTTGTTTGTTTGCTTATTTTTAAGACTTTATTTGTCAGAGAGAGAGAGGGAGAGAGCACAAGCAGGGGGTGGGGCAGAGGCAGAGGGAGAAGCAGGCTCCCCATTGAGCAAGGAGCCTGAGGCAGGGCTCGATCCCAGGACCCTGGGATCATGACCTGAGCAGAAGGCAGATGCTTAACTGAATGAGCCACCCAGGTGTCCCTCATACAATGTATTTAAAGAAGTATTTCTCTTTGTATTTGTAAGCAACTATTAATTTTGCCTCATCTGAAGGAAGGATGTTAGTTCCTGTAAATGGGCATCAGTTCCTCCCTAAATAAAGGTATTTCAGTTTTGACTTGTTCTAAGATAGGTGTTCCAAAGGTGTACAAATGGCCAATAAGCACATAAAAAGATTATCAACATCATTAGTTATTAGGAAAATACAAATTAAGCCCACAATGAGATACTACATCACACCCACTAGGATGCACATAATCAAAAAGGTGGACACATAAGTGTTGGTGAGGAGAAACTGGAACCCTTGCTATATTGCTGCTAGGAATGCAAAACTGGTGCAGCTGCTTCGGAAAATGGTTTGCCAGTTCCTCAGAATGTTAAACATGGAGTTATCATATGTTGCAGCAATATCCACAAGACATGAAAACCTACATCTATATGAAAATTTGTACATGAATAACAGTATTATTCATAATAGCCAAAACAATACAAATGTCCATCAACTGATGAATAGATAAACAAAATGTGGTATATCTATATAAGGGAATATGCCTTGGCCTTAAAAAAGAATGAAGTACTGATACATGCTACAATGGATGAAACTTAAAAATATTCTAGGCAAAAGAAGCCAGACACAAAAGACCACATATTGTATGGTTCCACGTATATCAAATGCCCAGAATAGGCAAATCAACAGATTAAAAAGTAGATTAGTGTTTGCCAGGGGTTGGGAGGGGGAAGAAGGAGAAGTGTTTGCTAATGCGGACAGGATTTCTTGTTGGCACAATGAAAATGTACTGGAGTTAGCAGTGATAGATGCACAACTCTGGGAATATATGAAAAACCACTGACCTTGTACTCTTTAAAAGAGTGAACTTTATGCTCTGTGAATTATATCTCAACAAAGCTGTTATTTTTTTTTTTTTAAGACTGCAGTGAAGGGCACCTGGGTAGCTCAGTCGGTTAAGTGTCTGCCTTCAGCTCAGGTCATGATCCCAGGGTCCTGGGATTGAGCCCCGCATCGGGCCCCCTGCTTAGCGGGGAGCCTGCTTCTCCCACTCCTCCTCCCTATCCCTCCTGCTCGTGTTCTCTCTCTCTCTCTCTCCCCCAAATAAATAGATAAATAAATAAGAGACTGGGGTGAGACTGGAACAGATGCAGTTGTTTTTCCATTAATAAAAGTTACCTGCCATATACTCATGGTATCAAGACATGACCAGATAGCGATGACCTTTGCCTTTTAGTTTAAGTTTAGTTAGGACCTAAAAGTGAATAGTGTTTACTTCTTTTAAGTTCCAGAAGGCTATCAGAAGATGGAAGTAAAAGAAATAAGAAGATTCTTTTGGAGCAGACTGGATGTTTCTTCTTCAATATTCTTAAAGCCAGATGGGTTTGAGTGTTGACTTAAGCTGAGATTATTTTAAATACTTGGGAAAAAGCTGGATTTAACTTAGTAGGTGCTATTGTTTTGCAATTGTTGTCTGTAAAAGAATCTATTTCTGAGACATGCTGACAAGTAATGACCCAAATGTTGACAATAAAAGTCCTAAAAGGGTCTGTAAGAGGACTGTGCAGAAGCTACCTTCATTAGATTTTGCAATTCAGTGGATATGGAGGACTAAATTAGGGGGAGGAGGCAAAGATGTCTAGAGAGTTTCAAGCCTAAATGATTAGAAAAGGACAGAACTCTTTATAGGAGGAAGGGCTGGTGTGAGTTCCACTGGAGGCAGACTGAGTTTGAGGTGCTGAGAAAATCCCAGGGTAGTAACAGCATTTTTAGAGCTGGAAGCAACCACAGAGATTATCTAGTAACCAGTGCCTTTAATTTCAGATGAGAAATCCCAGGCTAAGTGAAGAGGAGCGACTTGCCCCATGTATAGCGGCAAATTGGTATCAGAGCTCCTAGGCTAACATTCTGACCTGCAGGTACTTGACAATGTAGGTCAGGTACCCAGGACAGAAAGTGGTGCTAGAACTCCTGGAAATCATCTGAATCGTGGGGAGATTAAAGTTATGTGAGAGGATTTCCAGAGACATAAAGATGTTGAAATTAAAGACTGCAAGATAGACAGCAAAGACAGAGGTCCGGTTATTCAACTCCGGGCTCCCAGAGCAGCACCTCCTTCACTGAGATTGATCAAGGACCTGTGTTGTGACAGGCACTGTGCTCAGGATACAGTGGCAGATGAAACAGGCTCCCTGCCCTTTTGGAGCCAATAGCCCAGCAAGAAACAAACAGAGAAGTAGGCAATTCCAGAGCAGTATGATAGGTACTGAGCATTAGGAGAACACAGTATTGTGGGAGCAAGCCAGTCCCATAGAATTTCAGGTCCAGAAACCAGATTTCATCAGTTTACCCAGAATTGACTAGGCAGGCAGGAAAAGGAGAACATTAAGAAGGGGAAGATACTTAGAGAGCAGGGACTGAGCTTCACCTACCAAACTCACCAGACTCTGAAGGATAAGCTAGAATACTGATGTAGAAGTCTACAATGTGGGCTCCCCCTCTCCAGCTCTATCTTTCACTTGTGCTCAGCCTGAAGTGTGAAACCTTTCCCCATGTAGCTTTCCAGAAATGACAAGGTTGCTTAGTGAACTAAGCAGCCGGGGGAGGTGAATATTCTAGAAGGATATTCCATCAAAACCCATGAAATTATTCTTGTCCTCAATAGGTATCACATTTTCAGGGACCAAAATATTCTGATTCCATCCTTAGCTAGAGCTGGATGACTACAGTCTGACAAACTGTGCACTCTGGCTTCCTTTTTAAAAACTCTATTTTGGCAATCATACCTCTGTAAATGCAGTCTTTTAAATATTTATTTGCTTAACAGGCAATTCATTCAAGTGTTCAAAATTGAAAAGTACAATAGGGTATGCAGCAAAAAATCTCCCTTTTGCCCCTGTCCTACAGTCACCCAGGTCCTTGCCCCAGGCACAACTTCTGTTATCACTGTCTTGTATATCCTTCCAGAGACAATTTATTAATGCAATCCAAATCCTACCTTTTTTTTTTTAACTTAAAAAAAAAGTGGGGTTTGTTTTGGGGGGAGCACCTGGGTGTTTCAGTTGCTTGAGCATCTGGCTCTTTATTTTGGCTCAGGTCATGATCTCAGGGTCATGAGATGGAGACCTGTTCCACACTAGGCATGGAGCCTGCTTAAGATTCTCTCTCTCCCTCTCCCCCCCCACCCCTCCCCTCTCTAAAAAAAGTTTTTTAAGTAATCTCTATATCTAGTTTGGGGCTCAAACTCACAACCCCAAGATCAAGAGTCTCATCTCTACTGACTGAGGCAGACAGGCATCCCCAAATAATACTTTTTAAAAATTGCATCTTTATTTAATTACATTCTAGTCATGAGAATATACTGTAGTCACTCTGTTTGAACATCTTTTTCTGATTTAATTTGAGAGATATCCTGTCCCCTAAACTATAAGTACAAATGTCTCTTAGAATGGGTGACTTCTGAAAATAGCTGATTTCATCCCATGTGTGTGTTACTAGTTTCACAGAGTATCTGTATCTCTTCTTTTTTTTTTTTTTAAGATTTTATTTTATTTATTTGTCAGAGAGAGAGAGAGAGAACGCACAAGCAGGGCGAGCAGCAGGCAGAGGGAGAAGCAGGCTCCCCGGTGAGCAAGGACTGGATCCCAGGACCCCGGGATCATGACCCGAGCCTAAGGCAGATGCTCAACCAACTGAGCCACCCAGGCATCCCGAGTATCTGTATCTCTTAAGTTCTAGGAACACATTACTATTGCTTCCTGTGCAGAGATTCTGATGTCAACCATGACAATGAAATAACGAATTCTTACAATAGGCTCTTTTGTTGTTCATTGGTGTTGACCCAAAGACTTTACTAGCTTTTTGGGTTTTTTAATCTCAGGACACATTTCACAAACTCTGTACTTTGTCGGGTGGAACCAGGTAGAGTTGAGCATGTCCCCAAAGCAACAGTGATGAGGGAGAAATCAGAAAGCGGAATAATTTGCCATGCTTCTGATGAATTTTCTATTCCTTGTGCTTTTACCCCCACATGACCCTAAATTATGCCCCTAGATTAACCTACAAAAGTATACTACTATTAGACATGAATAGTAGTGAATAATAATGGTTATGCATAACCATTAATTATGAGACCACCAAGATGCTAAAATTATTGGTTTGATCAAAGTTATTGGTGTTACACTAACCTATTGCCAGTGAGGGAGAACAAGGCAAGAGTCACAGTCTATTCCTCTTCTTCTGAAAAAAAGCAGCACAAACACCAAGGAGTTGCCAGGTATTACTGTCGACACTTTGCAGAGTTGGACAGACAGTATAAGACAAACCAGAGAAGGCTTGTGCTTCCAACTGATGAAGTCAATCTAAAAATTGTTACAGAATTTTTTTCAAGAACAATACATATAGCTTTTGGCTTTCGACTCGGAGGAAGCAAAGGTGCAACTGTCTTCGGTCGTCCCGAATCCGGGTTCATCCGACACCAGCCACCTCGGCCATGCCGCCTAAGTTCGACCCCAGCGAGATCAAAGTCGTGTACCTGAGGTGCACCACTGGCGAAGTCGGTGCCACGTCTGCCCTGGCCCCGAAGATCGGCCCGCTGGGTCTGTCTCCAAAAAAGGTTGGTGATGACATCGCCACGGCAACCGGTGATTGGAAGGGTCTCAGGATTACGGTGAAACTGACCATTCAGAACAGACAGGCCGAGATTGAAGTGGTACCTTCTGCCTCTGCCCTGATTATCAAAGCCCTCAAGGAACGACCAAGAGACAGAAAGAAGCAGAAAAACATTAAGCACAGCGGAAATATTACTTTTGATGATATTGTCAATATTGCCCGACAGATGCGACACCGATCTTTAGCCAGAGAACTCTCTCGAACCATTAAAGAGATCCTGGGGACTACCCAGTCAGCGACTGTAATGTTGATAGCCTGGCGACTGTAATGTTGATGGTCACCACCCTCATACATCATAGATGACATCAACCGTGGCGTAGTGGAATGCCCAGCTAGTTAACTACAGAGGAAAATATTTCAATAAAGGATCATTTGACAACCAAAAAAAAAAAACATATATCCATACACAAGAAAGAAAAAGGGACTGAGGAAAGTGCTTTGATTTGCTTTTATAGCAGTAGGACTGGTTTGGGTGGCTCTATCCACCCTGCCTTCCAGAAGATAAGGGTATGTTCTATGGCTATAATATGAGCCTTTCTTTATGTAAAATTTAATGACACCCTGGCCTCATTATTTCCAGGCACTTCCAATTCTTATATCTGGAAAATTAAAAGTGTCTTTAATGAATGATATGAGGGTGTCCTCAGATCTCAGACAGACATGGTACAGAATAATGTCAATACCATTTGTTAGGTGTACTTACTGTATTCTTAAATTCCTTTATTGAGGAGGAGTAGACCACCCTAAGTACATTAGAAAATTAGACCTTAGAGGTGGCTGCATTTAATTCTTGGGAGAGGTACTTTATAAATTCTGAGAAATGTTAGCCAAAGCCTTCACTAAACCCAGATGCCTTCATTAGAAAGGAGGAGGAATTTGATTCCAGGTCACAAAGCAAGTTAGTAGCAGAGCTAAGATATGGACCTAGACTTACTCCTTTCACCCTATTGTCACATTTGGAGGCCTCCTTATTGTTAGAACTGGTAAAATATTACCTCATATTCATATAGCTCCTAGTGCCACACCACATTCCGCATGTACAGTCTCTCCTTTTGGCCCCCCAACGACCCTGTGTGCTAGGGACAATAAATGCAAGTGTTCTCTCTTTGAGGATAAGAAGGTTGCAACTCAAGAAGACACATAGTAGTCTATAATAGAGTCAAGACTAACACCCGGTTCTCCCAATTCCCTCTCCAGGGCTCTTTCTACCATGCCATCCTGCTTGTCTGGTGCCTTCTATCAGTGAACTTTGGAAAACAAGTTTGAGACACCAGAATTAAAACGTCAGCTCATTAAAAATAAATAATTACATATTTTGTAGGTACAAAATGAAATATTCAAATCTCTCTGCTCCCTTTCCTCCGAGGTATTTAAACGTTAAACTGAGTTCTCTAGTTTTGCACTGTTCGGGTACTACTTTTCTAACAAATGTACCCTAATCAAATTGAAATAAAATTTTAAATACATGACAGGGCAGGGAAGATGAGTCTGTAGTCGTCCCTTATTCCTGGCCCACTTCTGTCTCTATTGCCATGATTGAGTTTCTCAAGCCAGGACACATGGCCAACGACTATTTGAAACGTCTAGTATTCCCCCAAACACCTAACGGGCTTGTGGGTGGAAAGTGCAGCACCCCGGGGGAGAGAGAACCTGGATTCCAGACTTGGGTTTCCCCAGTCTCAAACCCGGTGTTGCCTGAAGAAGCCGCTTAAGCTTCAGTTGGTTTCGTTCACTGCAAAATGAGGGGCCTGAGTCCGTGCATACCGACGAATTTCACCCTGCGATTGTGCTCATGCCTTCCCTCTGTCATCCAGCAATGCGCATTTCCCGTGCTATTAAGCTTGCTTCGTCAGAAGTCGCTGCTCCTCCCTCCCCTGAAGCACTGGTGCCTCCTGCGGCGGACGGGGCTGGGCTCGGCAGCCGAAGCCAGTCGGCGGACCGACGAGCTAAAAAAAGGCCAACACCGGAGGCTGGACCCGGCGCCACCGCAGCTCCCTGACGGTTGCTAATTCCGGGCGGCGGGGCGCTCGGCCTGCGCTCCCCCGGCCCCGCCACCTGCTCCCAGCAGCCAATGGGGCGCGCGGGAGGCGGCGGGGCGGGGCGAGACTACAAAAGGCCGGGGGCCGCGCGCCGCGACACCCCCTGCTGGCGCGCTCTCGGGGGGCTCGGACGGACGCGGCCGAGCACCGGGGACTTTCCGCTCGTGGACAAGCCGGGCGCGGGCGATGCTGCGGGTGCGGTGTCTGCGCGGCGGGAGCCGCGGCGCCGAGGCGGTGCACTACATCGGCTCTCGGGTGCGTGCGCCGCCCGCCTGGGCCGGCGGCCGCGTGCGTCCCCCTCGCGCTCCCTGGCTTTCCCCAGGCAGCATTGCATGACAGTGTCCCTCTGGTTCCCTTTGGAAGCTCGGCTTCAAGAGCCTTCGCTGGCTGCCGGGAGCTCGGCGGTGTCCCGGGGGCAGCGGGAGGTGCATTGGGGCCACGCCCCGTGGGTACAGTGGCGCTCTGCGCGTCTCGGGCCTCGGTGGCCGTCACTGCAGGGGGCGCCGCCCTCCCAGTCGGACCCCGATTCGCTCCGAGAGGCTTCCGGCCCGGGGTGAGGGTGTGGGGGCGACGAGGGACACTTCTTAATACAAGGATGGAATGATTGGGGGTCGGCGCGGGGGGTGGGCGTAGAGCTGGGGAGCCTTCGGGGAAATGCGTGTGGTTCGGAAGGACAGGAGAGGAGGCCAAGTGGGAATCTGGGACGGAGAGGGAGCAGGCAGGCCTACTCCAAGAGGAACATGGAGTCCTGAGTCGAGAGAGGAGTTGGAGCGAGTTCAGGCCGTACCCAGACTTTCGGCCGTGTTCCCTCTCCCCCCCGCACCCCCCTCCGCCCCGCCGCTTGCCGGGTTTGTAAGCGTGCGCCTGCAGACCCTCCTTAGCTCCTGGGACAGGAATAGCAGGGCAGTTTGGCTCCCTCCTGGCAACTGCTTCCAGAACAGCTGTCACTCTCCCTCTTGCTTTGGTCCCCACCCTGGCTCCCCTCCTGCCTCCTTCGTAAGGCATTTAACAGAGTAGGAGAGAGATTGGGCGCGGGGGTGCGGTGTGGGGTGTGGGTGGTGTTTGAGGTTTGCCCCATGGGTGAGGGACCTCCCTATCGTAGATTTTATAGGTCCTGGATTTTCAAAGGGCTGTTTTGAAGTCCTCTTTCCCGGCTGTTTAAATTTGGGTTAATTCTGTCTTGGCTAGGATACTATGGACCATCTGTGAATTGGAGCCGATGGCACTTGGTCACTCTCAGAACTGAAGTGCCAAAGAGTGGGAAGTGTGTGTTAGCACTGCAAAATTTTTAGTTTGAAGCTGATTATTCTGAAAGATAGGTTCTTCACATATGCTTCTACATTTTAATTTGGACAAAAAAAAAAGTCTAATATTGGTGACTTTTAATACTGAAGGGGGAAAGGAGGCTTCTTCCTCCAGCTGGACTTGGCAGGCAGATATGGAGCAGCTTTCTGTGGTTTTCTAGGAATGGGGGATCCATCATCTACGGAAGGGTTGCTTAAAGCTTGATTAAAACTTAATTGCAGTAAACCATTCTGAGATATAAATGGGGGTGGTCACTAGGGATAAAATCCTCTGAGGGGCTTTAGAAAGTTATGCCAATTAACAAACAGATCATTTATAAAAAACAAGAAGGCAAAACTATAGCCCCACTGCCCACCTATATATAGGTAACTAACATCTTGATTTACATTCTCCTAAAGGATTTTAAATGTCTATGTTATGCTGGGTTTCATTCTACCTCCTCTTCCCCGAAAGTACTGTATAGGACTATGCAGTAATCTTTTCTTTGTTCTTGGAAGCTTGGAAGAACCTTAACAGGATGGGTGCAGCGAACTTTCCAGAGCACCCAGGCAGCTACTGCTTCCTCCCGGAATTCCTGTGCAGCTGATGATAAGGCCACTGATCCTCTGCCCAAGGACTGCCCCGTCTCCTCTTACAACGAATGGGACCCCTTAGAGGAAGTGATAGTGGGCAGAGCAGAAAATGCCTGTGTTCCACCATTTACCGTGGAAGTGAAGGTAAAGTAAGGGAATTCACATGTCTGAAGGGGGTTCACGCCTCACCTTCTGCAGGCTGGCTTCTGCTCCCACTGTCCTCTATAACTGCTTTCACTGTAGCTTACTCCAGACCTCTGAAATCCAGTGGTGATTTTAATTATCTTACCTGAAATTTCTGTGGGGTTTTATTTTTTTTAAAGATTTTATTTATTTATTTGACAGAGTGAGAGAGCGTGCACAAGCAGGGGAAGCTGCAGAGAGGGAGAAGCAGGCTCCCCACTGAGCAGGGAGCCCGAGGTGGGGCTCCATCTCAGGACCCCAGGATCATGACCTGAGCTGAAGGCAGACGCTTAACCCACTGAGCCACCCAGGCGTCCCTGGTGTTTCATACTATTTACACAAATAACTCCTTCCTCCAGATTCTGACATACCTCATCTGGGGATGTTAGTTCTTTCACTGTTGTTCACGTCTTCCTTCACTGTAATGTTAGGGTTTAGCAGAATTTCACTTTGGCCCTCTTCTCTTAGCTCATCGGGTCCCACCTCCACTCTGGTCCAGATCTTTCTCCAGATCAACATGTTAAACTCCTTGCTGGGTATTGCCGTGGGACCTCAAGCCTGGCACATCTTGAGTTTGGCTGTCAGCCACTCTGCTATACTGGACCCTTCTTCAGTCCTTCCTTTCCAATTTTGGCATTCCTATTTACTAGAGCTGAAACATCAAGGAGTCATCTTTGATTTCTCCTTCAGTCACATCCTCCACATCCATCCTCCAAGATCTAACAAGTCCTTTATCAAAAGCAACCTTGCCTCCATCCCTCTGCTGCTGCCTTAGGTCAGGATCATATCCACTGCCTGGACTATCACAGCTTACCCTCATTTGTTCTTCTCTCCAAACCACCTTCTAGCTTCTGTGAGAGTGCTTTTTTAATTTTTTAATTTTATTTTTTAAAAAATATTTTAATTATTTATTTAACAGAGAGAGACAGCAAGAGAGGGAACACAAGCAGGGGGAGTGGGAGAGGGAGATGCAGGTTTCCTGTAGAGCAGGGAGCTGGACACGGACACGGGGCTCAATCCCAGGACCCTGGGACCATGACTGGAGCCAAAGGCGGACAGCTTAACGACTGAGCCACCCAGGTGCCACGAGAGTGCTTTTTTTAAAACCAAAATTGGATCACGTTGCTCATCCTGCTCCTATCATTCCTCTATTTCCCAATCTTCTACATGTCCCCTCCCCCCGCCACCACCTCAGATAAAGTTCTCACAGTATTTCAAGATCATTCACAATCTGGCTCTTGTCTGCCTTTCCAGGACTCCCCATTTCAATCACTAGTTCATCTTAGAGGTGTTCCCCAAACAACCCTCATGTCTGTGCTCCCACTCAGGACTCCTTCCACCTATGTTACTGTACCTCTCTTGTCTGTAGTTTAAACCTACCCTCTTACTACCACAGAGGTCTGATGGTCCCTTCCCCAAAACCTTCCAGGGTTTCCCTGGCAACAAGTAATATCTCTCTTCTGAAAACTCCTAGTGTTATCTTTCAGACTCCTAAGGCCGGGCCTCGGTGGATTGGTGTTCAGGTTCAGAAGAAG